TCCAGCACCCCTAATCCACCCCTTCCTAATCTCCCATCCCTCCAGCACCCTCAAATCCACCCATCCCCGACTCACCTAGCAGCCTCAAAATTCCCCCAATCCCTTTAGCACCCCACATCTACCCCAGCACCCCCAAACCACGCTCCCACCCCCTGTCCCGGCCCCAAACCCTCCCATGTCGCCTCTGCCCCGCCCCACACAACAGGGAAGTGCCCGGAGTTCTCTAGTTCCCGGTTACCCCGACCTATGCCAGTCCCCCCCGGCGCCGCAGGACCCCCTGGGAAAGTTTCCAGGCGAACCCCGAGCCCGACCTCACCTGCCGCCCGTCCGGGAAGGGGGCGGGGCCGATCAGAAAGGGGGGCGGGGGGCTCTACTCGTAATCCGGCCCCCCGGGACCGGTCCAGGTGTGTCGGAGGGGGCTGGGGTCCGGCTGATCTCAGGGGAGCGCGGCGAGGGGGGGGGGATCCGAACGGCTCGAGGTTCCCGGGGACCCGGACGCCTGGGTCCTTGTTTTGGACAGAGACAGCCCAGGTGAGGGCGGGGGAGGGTCCAAAGGTCACATGGCGGGGGAGGGGCAGGTGCAGCCTGGACAGGTGGATGCCAGGTGCGGGAGGGAGGGGATTCCCAGGGAGTGCTGGGCGACAGCGGAGGGGGAGCCGGGGGGGCAGGTGCTGGGGGGCAGCGTAAGGGAGTCCTGGGGGTCAGGTGTGGGGGGGATCACAGGGAGTGCTGGGGGGCAGTGTGGGGGGATCCCAGGGGTGCAGGTGCCAGGCGGTTGCGTGGGGAGATCCTGGGGGGGGCAGGGCTTGGAGGGCTGTGGGGATATCCTGGGGGGGGGCTGCGTGGGGGAACCCCGGGGGGCAGGTGTTGGGGGCTGTGGGGGGTGGCGGGTGGGCAGGTGGGTTCCCGGGGGGGGCTGAGTGGGGAGGATGGGGTGGAAATCGTGCAGGTGGGGGTAAGGAGTTGGGGAGCAGGCACTGGGGAGTGGGGACCCTGCAGGGGCCAGGCGCAGGAATCAGGTGAGGGGCGCTGTACATGTCGCCAGCCTGTGCGTCCTTCGCCCCACCCCGCAGGGGCCCCCCTGCCCCCTCCCACAGGTGATGAGTCTGTTTGTGAGGGAATGAAATGGGATTGGAGAGCTGGGCCGGGACTCTGGGGCGAAGGGGAGGGTAGATCAGGGGGGTTTGGGAGCCAGGACTCCTGGGTTTTCTCCCCAGCTGTGGGAGGGGAGTGGGGTCTAGTGGTTAGAGCAGGGGGGCTGGGAGCCAGGACTCCTGAGTTCTCTCCCTGTCTAGGGAGATTGACAAAAAATGGGGGGGAAACCCCTGCCCCTGAGGACCGCTGCAGGGGTCGGGCTGGTAGTTACCGCTAAGTGGAGTGACCCGGGGGCAAGTCCTGGGGGGGGTCCCCCCAAGCCTGGGAGCCAGGGGAGTGGAGCCGGCTGGGGCGGGGTCACTCCACTTCCCGCAGGAAGTGGCCAGTCCCCCGCGTGGGGACCTGGCCCCCCCCACAGAGACCTGGGGGCGCTGCATAAGGCACCAAAATAGCTAGGGCCGGCCCTGCCTGGCACCACCTCTGAGCCCCCACCCCACCCCACTTTCCCGAGGGGGGGGAACAACCCGCCCCGGAACCGTCCCGTCGGGTCCCATTTTCAGGCCGGCCTCATTTTCCTGATGCACCGCGCGGGGATATGTATGGAGGGTCCACTTCCGGTCGCCTCCACTTCCTGTTTCCGGCGTGGTGGGGGAGAGGCGAGGTGAGGCTGGGCCGAGGGGGGTGGTAACCAGGCAACCCTCAGGATGTGTGTGGGGGGGTCCCCCGGAAACGGGTCCCCCCGCCCCTCCCCCACCCGAGCCTAGGGGCTCCCCCCCGCCCCCATTCCTCCCTTGGGCGTGGGGTGAGCAGCCCACGAACCCCCCAGTGTATGTGTTGCTCGGGGGGGTCCCTAAGGCACCAGCCCCCTCCGACCCCCCCAGGGCATGGGGCACCCTGACAACCCCCCAAACGTCCCCCTCTCCTCCCCCCCCCCACGAGGTACCCTGTGGTCTGCCTAGGCTTGGGGAGGGAGTGGGGATGTCCCATGTCGTCCCCCCCCCCGCTCCGATCCACCCCCCCATGGGGAAGGAGAGTTAATGGGAGGGGTGTCTGCTCCACTGGGCCAGATCCAGGTAGTGCCCGAGCGCACTTGGGGGGAAGGTGTGTGGGGTGGAGGTGGGGGGTGGGGGGCTTCCCGCAGTCCCCGGCTGCAGAGGGACAGCCTGGAGCAGGACCCGTGGGACCAGCCGTGTTGTCTTGCCCGTGTTTAAACAGGGCAAAGGACGCACGACGGGCCCGTCGGCCTGACGGGGACCCTGCGGCCAGTGCGGGACTCGGCGAATCAGGCGTTAACGGAGGGAACCTGATTGATGCCAGTCAACGTGGGCTTTCAGAAAACGGGCCCCGTCGGACGAGCTTGACATCTGTGTTTGCCGAGATCCCCGGGGGGATAAAGGTAACGGCGCCTACGGAGCAGACGTCGCCGGCTGTGCGGCCGCTCACGTGCTCCCGGGGGACGTTTTGGTTAGCAAAATTAGACTGATCTCAGATTTACCACGGCCCACGTGACGTGGACGAAAAACTGCATCCTGTGTTTCCACTGGGGTCCTGCAGGGATCTTGCCCGTTGCTATTTAACACCTTTACCAATGACCTGGTGTCAGGGGTCCACAGGATGGGGGCTGCCCCCTCAGCTTTGGAATGGTCTCCAGAAGGCCCGGTCGAGGGTGCCGGACCGCCTGGGGGGTCCCACTCTTCTGCCAGACTCAGCCCCATGGCTTCACCGCCTCCTGAGACAGGACCTCTAGGCCTGCAGCCCCCCCATGTCCCACCGTGAGCTTCGCTCAGCAAGTCCCCCTGAAGGAGACTTGGCCAGTGTGTGCAGTGACACTCGCCCAGCGCTGTCAGAACAGTCAGGTTTTTTCGGACACAGGAGCATCTGCAGATAAGGGGCGTAAGGGCCAGACAGCTGGGTGCCATCCACACCTGTGTCTAAGCAAACAGCCCTCTTCCACCCACTAGGCACCAGTGCAGCACATGCGAAAAACTGAGGCACAGATAGGCCTCATCAACAAAATTACAAAATATTCCCACTTCGTCACACCTGGAAGAAAACACAAAACTGTGGCTGATAAAGTTTGCAAATAACCCCAACATTGGGGGCGTGATAAATAACCCGGGGGACAGGTCAGAGATACAAAGTGATCTGGATCGGCTGGGTAAGCTGGGCGTAGGCAGACACAACGGGGTTTCATATGGTTAAATGTCAGTGTAAACACCTGGGAGCAGAGAGCGCCAGCCGCACGGACGGGCTGGGGGACGAACCTGGAAAAGGTTTGCGGGGAGAGATGTGACAAAGTGGGAAATTCTGTAATGTTTGGTGTGAATATTGTGGGTGCCTCAGTTTCCCCATGTGCTGTGTGTTTGACTAGGTGGAAGGAAAAGGTTCCATCTCTGCAGAGACCCAGAGGACAATGGAGAACCCCGAAGACAATACCCGGCCAAATGGTGCCGAGCAGCCTAGAGTCACTCCTGATTAATCAGGGGGTGCATTGCTCCCTTTGGGTGTGTGTCTCCCCCAGGGGTCCCATCTAGGGGGACTTGCTGTGGGGCGCTCACAGTGTGATGCAGGGGGTCTGCAGGCTCTGAGATCCGGTCCCAGGAGGCGGGGAAGCCATGGGGCTCACCCCAAGGAGAGAGCGCAACACGCGAGGAGGATTGGCATGCTGAAAGGGCTCCTCCCGGGCCTGTGACTCCGTGACCGGTGGTAGCGAGGGGATGGTTGGCGAGTGCGCCCGGTGAGCAGTTGGCTGCCGAAGGCACCAGCAGTGTCTTGCGGTGGTAAAGCGAGGGAAGAAGGAACCAGCGAGGACATGGCGTGTAGCCGTCTCCCTGCAGAGGACCCTGCCAGCCTGTGCAGGGGGAGGGGGTTAGGCCTTGGGAAGCTCGCATGAGTTGCAGTTGGAGGCATGGAGGGGGTAAGAGGACCCGCCGAAGGGTAGGTGGGGAGAGGGCCCCAAAAAGGTTGGCGTGAATGATCAACTTCTTGCTGCGGTGCTGATGAGCGATTTGGAAGACTGGCAAGGTGGCACCTGGACCCAGAGCCACCCTCCCTGCCCTGGCACTGAGCATACGGCCCAGCAGGGGGCTCAGGACCTTCCGACTGGGAGGAAGTGAGCTACCCGGGGACAGGGCTCGACGCTTTGTCCCGAGGTGTGGAAACCGAGGCACGGCCAATGAGGGCTGCCAGCGAGCTGGGCCAGGTTCCGCTCCCTACCCCAGCAGTTGACTTCCAGACCGAGCTACAGAAAGATCCCTCCTTAGAGAAGCTGAGGACCTTTGCTGGCCACGGCATTGCGGGATCCCTTAGGGGAAGATTCCTGTGTCAGAAATGGGCTCCCCAGGGGAGATCGGGGGGCAGCTGGTGGTCCCCCAGAAGCACCATCACAGGCTACTGTACCTGACCAGCGATGGTCCTCTCTCAGGACACTGGGGAATCCAACACACCAGGCAGAGGTTGCTGTAGAACGTTTCCTGGCCCGGAGTCTTTGATGCCGTCCGGCAGTAGGGCAGGTCCTGCGACCCCTGCCAGCGAGTGGGGAAGGCCCGGGACAAGGGTAAAGCAGCTTTGAGACCCTTGCCCATCACAGAGGAACCTTCTCAGAAGGTGGCCATGGACCTAGTGGGGCCCCTCAGCAAGGCGACCCAGACAGGGAAGAAATACATCATGTTGGGGGTAGATTTCGCTACCCGCTACTTACAGGTGGTGGCTCTGTCCTCTATCGAGGCAAACACCATGGCAGACACGCTGCTGACCATTTTCAGCAGAGTGGGGTTCCCCAAGACGATCCTTACAGACCCGGGGTCCAATTTCATGTCAGCCCTGCTCCAAGGCTCTGGGAGAAATGTGGGGTCTGGCACACCTGGGCCTCAGCGTATCCCCCCCAGTCCAACGGGCTGGTGGAGAGGTTTTTGGGGACCTTAAAGATGATGCTGAGGACTTGTATGGACCAGCACCTGGACAAGTATCTACCCCACCTGCTGGTCGCGTACCGGGAAGTGCCCCAGGAATCCACAGGGTTCTCCTCTTTCAAGTCGCTATTTGGGAGGAGAGTGAGGGGACCCCTGGACTTGGGGAGGGATGAATGGGAGGGGAAAGCCGCTCCCGATGGAGAATTGGGGGTGGAGTACGTGCTGGCTTTAGGGGTGATCCAGCTGCCTCTCCCCTGGGGCTGGTCCCCAAGAAAGACGGGGGGGGGGGGAGGTTGAACCAATTCGGTGTGGACTATCGGAAGCTCAATGCCATCACCGTGTCCCATGCTTATCCCATGCCTGGGCCTGATGAGATTCTAGACAAGTTGTGGGGGGGAAGGGTTACCTCACTGCTGTGGATGTCACCAAAGGTTACTGGCCTGTGCCTTTGCACCGAGAGGCAGGTTGAAATCTGCCTTCACCACCCCAATAGGGAGTGCTTAATTTGTGCCAGCTCCTGGCCCCGGCACCTCCGGGCTCGGCCGCTCCTGGCCCCGGCACCTCCGGGCTCGGCCGCTCCTGGCCCCGGCACCTCCGGGCTCGGCCACTCCTGGCCCCGGCACCTCCGGGCTTGGCCGCTCCTGGCCCCGGCATCTCCGGGCTTGGCCGCTCCTGGCCCCGGCACCTCCGGGCTTGCCGTATCAGTTATGAAAGTGAAAAAATTGCTTGAGTCCCGGCCCCTCTTTCATTACAAATTATACGGGGCTTTTTGAGTTCCTGGTCCTACCTTTCGGCCTCAAGGGGGTGCCTGCCGCCTTCCAGTGCCAGGTGGATCATTCCTGGGCTCCGAAGGAGGCTCTAAGCCAGGGCCCGGTTCTGGTAAACCCAGACTTCAATAAGTCCTTCCTGGTGTCCCCGACGCCTCAGGCCCAGGGCTGATGGTAAGGAGGAGAGACACCCCATCGTGTACCTGAGCGAGAACCTGCTGCCCCGGGAGCAGAGCTAGGCCACAAGGGAGAAGCGACGCCTGGCCATGGGGTGGGCTCTTAAAAAGCTGCAGCCGTATCTATTTGGGGGGGCACTTGACTGTGTGCACTGAACACTCGCCCCTGACGGGCATCTCGAGGCAGGGTCCTGGCCCCCCCCCCATGGGGGGGTGATGAGTTGCAGGGGGGTCGGCAAAGAACCCCGAGAAGGATACAAGTGTCAGCAAGAGTCCAGGGGCTTGTGGGTATTTTGAGTCACAGGAAGGGGAAGGTGGAACTGGGTCCCTGCCTAGGTACCGAGGTGGGGACCAAATGCTCAGGCGAGCAGAGGACGGCTCTCTGGCCTGGCTCGGACGAGGTGATCACAGCAGATCCATGGGGTTCCTGGAAGGTTTGCCCCTTGGGGGACCGATCACAGCTGCATCCCCCGTCGGGTTTGGTGATTGGAGGGGCTCTGAGAGGGGGGGTCCCCCTTTCCCGGTGGGGGGTGGGGGGCCTGTCCCCCAGGAGACTGGATCTGGGATCAGTGGGGCCTCGGGACGTAACCAACTCCCTCCCCTAGGGACGCTGAGCCAGGATGACACGTCACGGCAAGAACTGCACGGCTGGCGCCGTGTACACCTACCACGAGAAAAAGAAGGACACGGGTGAGATTCCACCTGCTGTGGGGAAGGGGCATTGGCCCAGCTGGGGGGGACCAGGGCTGGGCTGGCAGGGGGCTGTGGGTCGGGAGTGAGGGGCACCGGCAGGGCTGAGGGGAGCCCAGGGCTGGGCTGGCAGGGGGCTGCGGGTCGGGAGTGAGGGGCACCGGCAGGGCTGGGCTGGCAGGGACTGCAGGTTGGGAGTGAGGGGCACCGGCAGGGCTGAGGGGAGCCCAGGGCTGGGCTGGCAGGGGGCTGCGGGTCAGGAGTGAGGAGCACCGCCAGGGCTGGGGGTGGGAGGAGATCAGCTTCTATCCCTGTGCCCTGACCCTCTCCCCCCACCCTGCCCCCCACTTTCCAGCCGCCTCCGGTTACGGGACCCAGAACGTCCGTCTGAGCCGAGATGCCGTCAAGGATTTTGACTGCTGCTGCCTGTCCCTGCAGCCCTGCAAGGACCCGGTGGTCACGTAGGTATCGGGGTGGCAGAGACCCCCACAGGGACATAGGGGTCCTGGCAGCTGAATAGAGAGACACCCTAAAAGGGGAAACGGCCCTTCTGGGTCCTGGCAGCCCTGATGGTGCTTTAAAGCTGGCCAGCCCCAGGTGGGCAGAGAATCCCCGAGCCGGCGCGTCCCGGTCTGCAGGCGGGTAAGGGGGGGTCGGTGTATGGGGGGGGGGCTGCAGCTCAGCCCCCGCCCCTATTTCTCCCCCCGCCAGGCCCGATGGGTACCTGTATGAGAAGGAGGCCATCCTGGAGTACATCCTGCACCAGAAGAAGGAGATCGCCCGGCAGATGAAGGTAAGGTCCCCACGGGGGCCCTGCTGCTCCCCTTGGGGTCTGCGGGTCGGGGGGGCAAGGCTGGCACAGCGGAAGCGGGTGCGGGTTGGGAGTGGGGGGCACCAGCAGAGCTGGAGGGCAAGGCTGGGAGGTCGTAATTCCTCTCCTGGTCCCCTGACTGGGGAATTCCTCCTCTGGGCTCAGTTTCGGGGGGGCTCGGTCCCCCAGAGAGGACACCAGGCTTTGAGCCGAGGAGCTGCCGGTGGCGGGTGAGAGGCCCGTCACTGACAACCTTGGGTGGGGTGGGGCGGGGTGTTAGGGTGATGGGGGCAGGAAGGCTCCAGGGGGGGAGGGGGGAGCTGTCCCTGCAGCAACCCCCCTCCTCCCCCGGTGCTGCAGGCCTACGAGAAGCAGAAGAAGGAGAAGCGGACGGAGCTGGAGGAGCTGAGCCGGGCAGCCGAGGATGCCAAGGTGAAGGGCTTCCTGGCCAAGGAGATGAGCATCGTCAGCAAACCCCTGAATCCCTTCGACCACAAGTCAGGTACGGGGCTGTGGGGCGGGAGTGAGGGGCACCGGCAGGGCTGAGGGGGCAGGGCTAGGGTAGCAGGGGGCTGCGGGGCGGGAGTGAGGGGCACCCGCAGGGCTGAGGGGGCAGGGCTAGGGTAGCAGGGGGCTGCGGGGCGGGAGTGAGGGGCACC